CTGTATTTGATAGATGGCACCAACCTCATCCATTAAGTAACCTATTAAAACTTTTTGATGATTTGGCTTCTAAATCAGTGGTTTTCAAAATTCTATACATACCAGAATCACCTGGAGAGCTTTTCTTAACATAGATATTACCAAACTCTGGATACTTTGATTTAGGTCTTGGGTGGAGCTGGGAATTTCCTTAAAAAAAAAAAAAAAGAAAAAAAAAAGGCCCTAAAGGAATCTGATGAGCAGCCAAGTTTAGAAATTGATATTCTAAACAGAAAATTGCTATGTAAATAATAAAGAATTTTACTTACAATTTAAGCAGTAAGAACAGATTTTAAAATTATGGAAATGACCAGGTTTCCCCATTGTAAAAATTCTGTTTAAAAGTCTGCTTTCACACGTTTGCTGAATGAAAGATCTCTTCTTTGACAGTTCAGATTTTCTGAGTTTCTAATGTCAAAAACCTTGTTACTTTTGGGTAGCTATGTTTATACACTGTTGAAACTTTAGTGTCACTCACATTACTCAAATTATTACAGCTTATTTCAACAGAGACTTCCCAAGAAAGAGAAGTGATTTTTACTTAACAATTACTAAATCAGCTACTTAACCACCCTAATCATAGAGCTCTTGTTTCTTGAGACAATGGCTCAAAGCAGCCTTTGTTCTGTAGACTAAAAAAGAGTTAATAATGATGAATAAGGAGTTGATTATATAGAATGCATATCAAATGACTATATTAGGACAAATGTTTCTTTTAGACTGTGCATGAATTTAAACTTGGTGACTATTCCTTCATTTTTAAGTACTTAATGTACTTATAAACCCAAACAAGCTGCAACTGAGTTTTAAATCTTTTTAATAGTCTATAAGTCCTGGAGTGACTATTTTCACAACTTTTTAAGCCTACATTTAAAAAATTAGCTGTATCTTTTAAGCATCTAAGTACATGTTTAGTTGAAAATAAATGCCCATAGAGAAAGGGAAATAGGGTGGCAGGCATGTTCTCTTAGTAAGCAAAAACATAATAACAACTTATCTAGGTGTAACTACAACTACTTATCAGTAGTAAGCTAGGGCATTTCTGCCCATGCATACGGGGGGCTATGGGAAATGTCTTTATGGTGAGGATTAACATGGAAGTCTCAAAGAAATACTGTGTGACTATCCATTTTAGTGTTTGTGATTTTCTTAGCTTCTGCATTTACTGATAAGCTCCTCATATCCACTCCTTTATTCCACCCTGGCATCCACTACCCATGGTCTGTCCCCTAAAGAGCCCCAGGCCACACTGTGGTCTTGGATCACACTGTGATCTTACTCTGATCTCCCTCTCTGATGGTGACCTTCCTGACAATACATTCTATTATTTCTTTTCTTTTTCCATCATCCCATCAAAGAAGGTCCTATACTGGGTCCCTGATTCCTTTGTCACTTGTTTTCCTCTTAGGTGATTAATTACTTCTTCCTAAACTTTTAACAAATGCCCCTCTCCCAGAAGATGATGTAATCTTAAAGGAATATATTGCTGTAGAAATTTCACACTGTGGCAGTTGTGTGATACTAGTCTTTACTCCCTCAAATCTCTCCCTAAAAATGTCCTGGGATATCTTTTCCTGTATTTTCATCATGTCTTGCCCTAACCAAAAAAACTTTAATAGACTTAGTGCTCTCGGGGTAAAATTCAACTCTTCAAATTTTTATGGACTGAAGCCACTTATTTGTTGCTTCTATGTCTATAAATCCATCCCAGAAAGGACCTTAATATGATTTACTTAAGTATTTTTTCATGTTATGTCCTGCACAAAGGACCTCATCACTCCTAATGCCCTCAAATCAAGTTCCAGCCCTTTATACCTTTTCAAAGCTTCCCATATCTGGTGTGATCTGAATTTCCTAACATCATATACCAGTCTCTCCCAGTCCAAATGTGTCTCAGCCAGTTGGTCTTCTCTTTCCTTTTACCTGAAATGCCCTTCCTGTAACTTCCTCTCTTCTTTCCCAAATTTTGATTGTCCTTTAAGGCATACTTTCAGTCCCACCTCCTGATTAAGCCTCACCTGAATAATCAGTCCACACCAATTTCGTCTCCAAGCAATTCTATTTCCTCTCTCTCTCTTTACTGAATCAAATAGTACCTTTAATTTTTATAATGCCATTTCATAACTAGAGGACTGTGTAATATGACTATATCTAAGCTGAAATAAACCTATGGTGTGGTTCCATAGGTGAAGCTGATGCCTGAACACCAGAAATGCTGGCTCTAAAGTCAGGAAAAAACAGCTAAGTTATAGAGGGTCTTTAACCTGGGATTTTATGAGGACACTGAAACTACTGCTTAGAGTGCATGAAACTCAATCCTGTAATGAGAAATGCGAAGTTTATGTGCTTATAATACCAGTGTATGTACAGTAAAGCATAGGGCATTCAACAGCCTCTGATTTCATTCTCAAGGTATTCCTTGTGGATGTGGGAATAACCATTATCCATTTCCCAGTTTGGCTAGGGCACCCAATCAATGGATTTTCCCTTTGAGTCACATCTCATTTGGTCTGCTGTAGCATGACTATTAGTGTGCCTTGGCTCTTACTACTAATTGCAAATAGTTCTCAGTCTCCCTTAATATTAGTACTGTTTACTCTAGAAATGGCATTTTTAGGGCCAGAATTCTGCCCTTCTATCCTCAATGTGGAGAGCATGCATGCCTTGTGTGAAGATTGGAATTCTCTAACTCTGGCAGCTGTGTTCTCTCTGTGCTGTGTGGCTAGAAAAGATCTTAATGTCCACTTGTGGGAAGATTATCTTTTGAAAAACATGGGTTTTGAAGACAGACAGATTTGCAAGTCTAAGTTTCCTGTAAAAAGGGCATAACAGGTTTTCCTCAGCTGCCACTAAGGTGCTCTGTTCTTCTGCGGAAGCTAAGGCTAGGGTGGGGTGAGGCTCTCACTTCATCCTGTGACTATTACCTTGCCCGGCAGCATCCACTCAGCCCTCATCTGCACCAAGGCCTCCAGCTGGGAGCTCACCTGCTTCTACTCAGCCCTCATCTGCACCAAGGCCTCCAGCTGGGGGCTTGCCTGCTTCTACTCAGTCCTCATCCTGCACCATGATGAGGTGAGGCTCACGAAGGATAAGAGCCCTGCCTCATTAAAGCTGCGGGTGTAAATGTTGAACCTTTCTGGCTGGGCTTGTTTGCAAAGTCTCTTGCCAGTGTCAACATAGGAGCCTCATCTGCAACGTAGGGGCTAAGGGACCTGTCCCAGCAGCTGGTGCCACACCAGCAGAAGGTCCTGCCCCCTCCACCACTGCTGCCCCAGCTGAGAAGAAAGTGGAAGCAAAGAAAAGAAGAATCAGAGAAGTCTGACGATGACATGAGCTTTGGTCTTTTTTACTAAACTTCTTCTGTAATCCGTTCAATAAAAAGCTGAACTCTTAAAAAAAAAGGGGGGGTGGATACGAAACAAAATAACATTTCCCTCAGTTTAAAGGTTACTTCCCTGTACCACTCACCCATTAACCACACCTAGTCTACGTCAGATTTCTTTGTTTTAAAATTTCTTTTAATTTTGTTCCTTTGCTTCAGAATACTGCAGAATAGTAGGTAACCTCTGGAGTGTGGGGGTGATTCATTGATCAGCGTATCTCTTCCCATCAATGTAAGTTCCACAAGAGCACACGCTGTGCCTGATTTAGTTAACCATTACTTTCCCAGCTACTAGCATTAGCCCAGCTCCTCAGATATTTATTGAATGGAAGAATACCTCATAAAATTGGTAGGGAAGGAAAAGCGATAAAGTATGTAAAGCGCAATATAAACACCATAAGGCATATGTGTGTGTATATTTATGTATGTGTATATACATATATAAAATCAGTATATAGCGCACTATGGTTACCACATGGTAAGCCATAAATGTTAACATTATCATTATTTACTCTTGCTTGAAATCTGAACTGAAAAGGGTCCTCTTTCTTGCATAGCAACATGGACTAAGTGCTAAGTCATTGACTATCCCCAACTAAAAGCAGCTGATTCATCTGAACGTCTTTTAACACTCAAGCACCTTGTTAGGCTTACAAAGCTGGGAGCCTTACCTCAGTGCTTTCCAATCTCCCAATATTCAGTTCACTCGTTACATATTTGGTGATTTACCTTACAGAACTGCCAAGATCATATTTCCAAGTAGGCCTTCTAACACTGCTCATCCCTCCACAGACTAATCAGAATGGCTTCAGGGAAGAAAATAAAGTGGTAGAAGGCTACACGTGTTAGCAAAATTACCTGTATGGAGCACACTGCAAGTTTCAAAGGTGCTAAGTTTCCATTTTACAAATGTTTTGCCTAGAAACGAAATAGGAACTTTAGCAACAGAAAGGAATTAAAAATAATGGCTAAGTGAAACCTAGATTTATACTTAGGCAATTGGGAGAATCTGGCTTTTTATGTGCCAGCCCATAGTAGGTGTTCAATAAATAATTTGAATAAATTTTGGGAAAGAAACATGTCTCAGTGGCTCTTGGCATTGATTGCCTCCTCTATAGATACCACAAATCCCTTTCCTGACTGAGCAGGGCTTTAAAAAACCTGTGACTCTAGTAAAAGCAGGCATATCTTCCTAGTCAGGACAAGATTTTACAATAGTTTCACTCCACATAGTTTAAAAAAAAAAAAGTGATGAAGTTCCTGGAACTATTAGATGGGAAATGGTTTCTTTACTGCAGGAGTGCAGACTGGGCTCTCAGTTCTTGAGGGTGAAACGCGTAACTCCTCTTCGCCCCACATTCTTGGCTGGAGACGCCCTGTGGGTAAGTTTGGGGGGAGGTAAGAACAAGGCGACAATTTCAATATCTTCACGTAGGGAGAAGCTCATGAGGAAGTCAGGCTGTCAAGGCCAGCAACAGGGAAAGGAAATTCAATTTAAAAACTTGTAGTCGCGACTGTTTAAAAAAAAAAAAAAGAGGCGGGGATAAAAAGAGTAGGAAAAATGGGGGGTGGTGGTGGAGGGAAGAGACTAGTAAAGGAAAACTAGAAGAGGAAGAAAGAGTGTGCTACGCAGTTTGTTGTTTCTCCTGCTCTTCCTCTCTCACTCCCTCCAGCAGCTAGAAAAAGTTCGCAAGCGCAGCATTCGGGATGGGCGAGAGAGCTCTTCATTTACGGACCCACGAAAAGAAGCACCCGCTTCACCCCTCCCGATCCGCGCCGCCGCCGTTTCCCCCCTCTCCGGATGATGGAGGGCAGCCGGCGAAACCCAGAGAGGAGTTAGACCTGGCGGACTCCCCTGGATCCCGCAGGGATCGAGGAGAGGCGCGCAGCTTTCCTTCTGTCCCGCAAAACCTCCCCTCCCTCCTCCTCCCGCAAAGAAAAAAGGAAAGACCGAACCTCTAAACCAACCTTACCCCTCCCCCTCTTCCTGGAGGAGCTAAAGCCGAAAGTACCGTTCTGTGATTCACCGGACAGAAAAGAGGAAGGAGGCGGCCAAGAACGCCTAGTGCGCAAACTAAGTAAGTTAGCTGACAAAACGCACCCATCTTTCAGCGCCTCGGCCGGGTGCGTCAACTCCGCGGAGACCAAGTGGGCTCGGCGTGGAGGGGCCACCAGGGCGGGGAACCCGCTTCGCTCCCCCACGCGCTCCAGCGGCCCGGAGGACTCGGCGCTCGAAGTTCCTGCAGAAAAAGGGTGGTTAGCGGTGGAAAGAAATCAGGAAACTGGGCTTTCCCCCCCTCACTTCGCCGCCTAGTGTCGGGGAGATTGGCAAACGCCTTGGAGAGGACCGGGAGAAATAGCCCTGGAAAAGTGGAGAAAGTGGTCAGGAAGTCGGTCCACTTCAGGCAGCTGTTTATCTGCTAGTGTACGGGCGAGGCGTGGCGGCTTAACTTCCAGTGCTTTCCAGGTGAGGGGACGGCCAGACTGTCGGTCCCACCCGGCCCGCGCGTGCACGCCCGCCGCAACCTCACTCCTCAACGTCCAGGGCGCTCTGGGCAGAAAAAGCCCCTACCCGAGGTGATTCTCAATCCTTTACTAGACTTCTTCTCCCGAGAACTTTTTGGTGGAGGCATTGACTTTTTTGGTGGCAGCTGCTCAGGGGAGCGAGGAGGAGGAGAAAGTGAAATTTGAAGGAGAAGAGCGGCTCCTTGTTTTTCATCACTTCTAGGAGGTTAAGGAAAGTTGTTGGATGTGGTGACAGCGGAGAGGGGCGCAGGACTTCTTTCCAGGTGGAGTTAGTCCACCGCCTGTTCGGTCGACCCCTCCCGCGTGCATGTGTGCGCCAGCGGCGGCACGCGGTGCGTGGTTCGGCGAGTGGCGTCTCAGCCGGGACCTAAGTGAATGGCCCCCAGGGGCTGTGCGGGGCCTCCGCCGCCTCCGCCTCCGCAAGCCTGGTTCTGGCCGGGAAGGATGCTAGCCATGGGGGCGCTGGCAGCCTTCTGGGTCCTCAGCCTCCTCACCTACGGTTACCTGTCCTGGGGCCAGGGCTTGGAGGAGGAGGAGGAAGGGACCTTGCGAGCTCAATCTGGAGAGAGACCAGAGCCCAGCACGACGGCCACCTCCCAACCCCATCTCATTTTCATCCTAGCGGATGATCAGGGATTTAGAGATGTGGGTTACCACGGCTCGGAGATCAAGACTCCCACTCTTGACAAGCTCGCTGCCGAAGGAGTTAAACTGGAGAACTACTATGTCCAGCCTATTTGCACACCGTCCAGGAGTCAGTTTATTACTGGAAAGTAAGTGTTAACACTTTGTATATTTATTCCTTGGAGAAATCTTAAGCATTTAATTAAGACCCAGCTCCTAATTTATTTATTTATTTATTTTTTAAAGACTTTATTTGAGAGAGAGAGAATGAGAGAGAGCAAGTACATGAGAGGGGGGAGGGTCAGAGGGAGAAGCAGACTCCCTGCCGAGCAGGGAGCCCGATGCGAGACTCGATTCCGGGACTCCAGGATCATGACCTGAGCCGAAGGCAGTCGCCCAACCAACTGAGCCACCCAGGCGCCCCCCCAGCTCCTAATTTAAAGGAGTAACAGAAAATACGGGGAACGAGTGAATGAATGAAATGTGGTATTGAGTTATGGTGAGTATCAAATTGGATGCCCTGTTAATGATCTTGAACATCTCCTCTCTAGTCTAGTCTCATTTTCCTTACTCTCAGAGCCTGCTGTGAAGTGCCCTCCAAGTTTTTAAATGAGATCAGTACTTGTAAAAGTCTCGCCTACCAACCACATGTCTCCAGAAGGGGTCTCCTTTTCCAAATCTATTCTGGCTTTTGAGCATGCTTAGATTTGGTTCAGGCGTCACAGTAGAATTCACAATCACCATCACTGATAGGAAAGACAGATCAAAAATTTTCTGCAACTCTTGGTTTGTTCTTAAATCTAGAATTGAATGATCAAAGCCATAGGTTCTCACGGACATAAAAGAGGCCAAGGAAACAGATGGAAAGCAACGTAAAATCAGTGTACAGATGACTCTGTTTGGGTCTTTGGTAGGTAATTTTCTCTGATTGGATTAATAAAGAGGGACATGTGTGATTACCAAGGCAATTCTCAAGATGCAAGGAAATTCAATGATAAATGTTCAACAGGAGTCCAATTTCATCTGAAGTTTTCTGCTCCTTTTATCTGAAGTCTGGGAATTTTCTGGCTAACTCTAAGAAAAATCAGATTATTTGGATGCTTAAGTAAAGCATTTTTAATTTGTTGTTTTGCTAAACAGCTAAACCTTCTACTTAAGGCATTCACTCATTTTCACAGTTCATCCTATTAGAATATGGGTTACTATTACTGATTTGGATGTCCAAAGTCAGCCTGTGCAACTGAGATAGACTAGGAGGTCTGGAGGTCAAGCTACCACTGAACAGAGGTAGAAGAGAAGCCTTGGTGGTTCAGTATATGCATCCTGTGAGTTCAGTCTCGGGGAACCCTGCTTCAGTGAAGTTGTTCTTGGAACTGGATCCTCTAAAAGTAGCCAGTATCCATTGGAAAAATAAAGATTATTTTGTAAGAATCTCTGTCTTACAGAAACTTTTGCTTACAGCATGATTTCCATTGCTTAGCAAACTGTCAGAACGTAGCATCACTGCCAGAAAAGAAAAGAAAAAAATCCCATCCTTTCTTGAGAATGAGAGATTTTAAAAAAAGTCTCACTGTACTTCAGAGATAGTTTAAAGGTTATTTGTGGCATCACAAAGTCAAGGGTATTTGATATTTATAAAGGAGCAGATTTTTGGCTGGAAAATAAGTCCATCTGGTGGCTGCAGATCAAGTTCTTCATGTCTAATCCCAACCACTCTTGTATTTGACTTATGAAATAAATGTGTCATAACTCACTGAATCTCTTCAACTAATTTAGAGAATTTAGATTTACTGAGATAGCCAGTGGTAGTTGAAAATATGTACATGAATTATATGAATTTTATCTTTCACAATAGAGCATATGCTTTAAGGCTTTTTACCAAATAAGAACATTTAGTTCCTAAACATTATCTTGCACTGATAAAATATCTAGGTTTTATCTTTTAATCTTTATGTTTACTTAATGACATGAAACAGAAATGAAGCTAGGGACGCCTGGGTGGCTCAGTCCTTAAGCATCTGCCTTCGGCTCAGGTCATGATCCCAGGGTCCTGGGATCTAGCCCTGCATCAGGGTCCCTGCTCGGCGGGAAGCCTGCTTCTCCCTCTCCCACTCCTCCTGCTTGTGTTCCCTCTCTCGCTCTCTCTGTGTCAAATAAATAAAAATCTTTAAAAAAAAAAAAAATGAAGCTAGAAATAATTCCCAACTTTTTTCTCTTTTTTAAGTTGAAGATGATATACAATGTTGCATTTGTTTTAGGCATACAACATAATTGATTCAACAACTCTATACATTATGCTATGTTCACCAGAGCGTAGCTAATTTTTCTCTTTTGTCAAAGGTTGGCTCTCTTGTTCTTTCAATGCAATCGAACATCTAATGAAAAGATTTATTCTCCTATTAAAATTTTCTATTCAGTGTGACAAATTGTGTAGCTGTTTTATAGACAAAAAGTTTAAATAGATACTGTAACTTGATTTAAATTTTTATTTGACTTAAATTAAGCTGAAGACATTTCCATTTGCAGTTCTCTTTTTTAGACTGGAACCTTCCTTTAAATGAACACAAATATAAGAAAGAAAGTAGTGATAGAAGCCTGGTTGTGGGCCTAATATTAATGGTGCAGAGCCCAGGGATTATGGTCATTTGTCCTCTCCATGAGCACATGTGTATACTCCCTGGATCTTCTAAAGTAAAACAAAACAAAACATAATCAGAAAGCAAAAAAAAAACCTAACTGTCCTGAATTATTTTAAGTGAAAAATGGGTTATATAAAATATGAGAGGATTCAAATATCTTTTATGAAGAAAGTTAAAATGATTAAAACTGAGGCTACCTTTTTTTTTCTTTTTTAACAAGCCTCCTTTTATGTTTTGCTGAAGTCAAAATGTCAAAATCTATTCCCCTATACTGCATAAATGTGTAACAAATTCCAGATTGCTTTAATAATTTATATCATACCCATCTGGTAATATTCAATATCAGTTAGACTGTCAGTAAGCATTCACTGTGTACAGATCCCTGTATTGGAGCTCTGAGGAACAGTAAGAAGTAAGCCTTAATCTCTGGGTAGTGGTCTTCAGATTTAAATCTACAAAAATAATCACTCAAAAGGCTAGTTAAAATGCAGATTTCGAGGCCCAACTAGCAATTCAGCTTCAGTAGGTGTGGGGTTGAGCCCAGAAATCAATGGTGATTTAACAAACACTTCAGGCTATTCTGATGTTGACAGTATTAATACAAATTAAGGGTGTTATTATTAAGTGCTAACATCCACTGTTCCAGGATAATGCATTTTTATCTCGTTTAATCTTAATAACACTCTGTAAGATAGTTGCTGTTGTTATCTTCATTTTACATAGTTACGGCAAAAAATTTCAAGAGAGGTAGTAATGCAGGGGCTCTGTACATGGGACTTTGAGAAACAGCATTGAATGTGTTCAAAGTTGGCCTGGTGATAAAAAAGGTTGATTGAGAAAATGGCTATGTTTGATTTATTTCAAAGTAATTTTCTCACCTTTTGTTTTTCATAGTTTTACAAATAAAGACATGGATAAATGACATCATTTTTTCTTAAAAGAGAATATAGTGAAGGCTTCAGAAAGAGAATTAAAAGTTTTGCAATATTTAGAGGCGCCTGGGTGTCTCAGTTGGTTAAGTGTCTGACTCTTGGTTTTGACTTAGGTCATGATCTCAGGGTCATGATATCCGGGTTGTGAGATGGAGCCCTGCATTGGGCTCCGCACTCAGTGCAGAGTCTGCTTGAGGATTCTGTTTCTCCCTCTGCTTCCCCTCCCCCCGCACTCTCTCTCTCTCTCTCAAATAAATAAATAAATCTTAAAAAAAAGTTTTGCAAAATTTAGGCACGCATTTTATGCAGACTTTAAAGTAGGAAAAATCGGCAATCTGAGCTGAATTTATATCTTTGGCAATAATTTTGTTTTTTTACTACTTTGTTATTAATTTTTCTACTTGAAGTTACCATGGTGATCATTTTTATAAATGCAAAGGTAACTCAAATGTGTATTTGTAATAGGATATTTGATAAATTCATTGCGTATTAAAGCAACTCCTGCTTCTTGCCCAGGGTAGTCACTCTCCCAACTTCTAACACCTCAGGTTAATTTTTGCCTTGTGTTTGAACTTTATCTTTTTTTTTTTTTTTAAAGATTTTATTTATTTGACAGAGAGAGACACAGCGAGAGAGGGGAACACAAGCAGGGGGAGGGGGAGAGGGAGAAGCAGGCTCCCGGCCGAGCAGGGAGCCCGATGAGGGGCTCGATCCCAGGACCCCGGAATCATGACCTGAGCCGAAGGCAGACGCCCCTGAACTTTATCTTAATGGAATTATAGAAATGTACTCTTTCATGTCTGCCTTCTTTCTCTTAACATTATGCTTGTAAAATTTTTCCATGTTGTTGCCTGTAGATGTAATTCATTCATCCTCATTACTGAACAGTGTTCTTTTGTATAGATATACTACAATTTATTCATCCATTCTGCTGTTGACAGATATTAAGGTGGTTTCCGGTGTTGGGCCGTTATGAATAGTGCTGCCATGAATATGTATTTGTATGTGTTTGTTGATGAACATATATATATGTTTCTCTTGAATATCTATCAAGAACTTGGATTGCTGGGTTATGGGAATGTGTGTATTCATTTTCTGTAGATACTGCCCAACAGTTTCCCTAAGTGGTTCCACCAGTTTACGCTCTTACCAATACACACTCTTAGCAGTGTATGGAGAGTTCTGTTTGTTTCACATCTTTGTCAACGTTTGATATTGTCTTTTTCAATTTAGTCATTCTGGTTGTTATGCACTGGTATACCATTATGGCTTAAATTTGCATTTCTTGAGTGACTAAGGAAGTTGAGCATCTTTTTGTATTTTTTTTTTTTAAAGATGCATTGACATCTTTTTTTTTTTTTAAAGATTTTATTTATTTATTTGAGACAGAGAGAATGAGAGACAGAGAGCATGAGAGGGGGGAGGGTCAGAGGGAGAAGCAGACTCCCCGCCGAGCAGGGAGCCTGATGCGGGACTCGATCCCGGACTCCAGGATCATGACCTGAGCCGAAGGCAGTCGCTTAACCAACTGAGCCACCCAGGCGCCCTCTTTTTGTATTTTTATGGACTATTTGAATA